ATGTACACTTCGTTTGGGGGTTGTATTGCTCTTTTAGATTATCGAAACATTTTTTTAGGTTAGACCAGGGTTGAAAAACCGCTTCGCGGCTTTTCAACCCTGGCCCCGTCTAGGATTTATGAAACTTTGCATAATTCTTGCCGAAAACCGATTACCAAAAAATGAAAACCACGCCCTCCCTTCCTTTTTATAAGCCATTTCCACTTCCGGCGTATGCTAATTTTTCCCTAACAAAGAGGGAAGCCAAGATTTTTACAAAAACCTAATTTTAATAGCGAAAATAGCAATTTTTCAAAGATTTTATGTGTGTGCAGTCGATTCCAGCCCCTTCTTTACCCTATGCCGTTTCTTCCCTACCGAAAAAATGCTTCCCTGAGGCTGTAGGTGCGGAACATCCAAACGGAAGTGCATGCAAATATACACACACACACACAGACACTATTTTTTTATATATAGTAGGATTATTTCGTTTTTCACTCTTAAATGAACTACAGGTATTTCAAAGCTTACTCGAACTGTTCGTACGTCTCTAAACCCAATTCCTGCAGCACTTCCAGAATATGCGTCTGTGTGCGGCCAACCCATTGACCTAAATTATTTGAAGGAATCTTTTCACGCGTGTTAGTCGAAACCTCCCAAGTCAAAATCATCCAGCTTTTCGCCGGCGGATCGTATTTTGGTGGTGAATGTTCGGCCGCCGACTCGATCTTTTGCTTCGACGATGAGGATCTGGGAAATGTTTAAAAATAAAATACATACAAAGTACCTTAAGATCGGGAGCTCGCTTGCGAAGCTCATTTGCTGCTGTTAGGCCGGAGATGCCGGCACCTAAAAAGAAAAATGTCTGTAATCGAGATTTTTAGATTTAATAGGTTTAATTTTGTTCTTATTAGTAAGTAAAGCGCCACTTTTCAGGGATCGTCAACCGGTCTCCACAAAAATCCAACCGAATTACCTATCGTAATCGATGCTAAGCTGCCGTTTATAAAGTGTATTTAGTGATTTTAATGAGCTAATGCGAAAAATAAGCGTACTGTACGGTTTTCTAGGTTCATTGTTTAAGGTCTGAAACTAATTTACAGTCTTAAAACGACATTTGAATAACATACCAACAATTACGACATCATATTCGGCTTCATCCTCCGAAAACATATCTCCAACGATCTCGATCGGTGATGAATCGCCCATTCTGAAAGCATTTAGGCATGATGATCTGTTTGTTTTTCATAACGTAAGGATCACGGATGGCAAAAAGGTGCCAAAATCGGATCGGTCAGTGTTGAGCTGGGGAATCAATACCCTGCAAAGAGGGCCGCGATGGGTCGACCCGTAAACAACATACCCCTTTTTTCTTGTTGCATTGGGGGCATAAACAGTTTGAGATAACACAATGGAAATTGGATCGCAGCAGGGTTCAAGGAAACGGTCATGAAAAGCCTATATTTAATTGAATCTTTCTGATCGTGGATCATTCTTCAGAAATTCGCAAGCCTGAAAATAAACTTGTTGCCGCTGTTAAAATAGGAAAGTGTCGCCCGGAAACGTCAACAGTAAAGTAGTGTATGTGGCTTGGAAATGATAATTGGTCCTCCTTCATCGTGATCCGTATCCACTTGAAATAATTTAACCCTTTAATTTACCAAATTTATACTGAAAATTGAATAACCAGAAGACTAAAACTTCGTTAACCAGGAAATCATTACCCCGAAAATGACCACTTAAAATTTACAATATGCCGAACTTCATTACGTATAATTTTCATTATTTGGAAACGAGTCGGAGAAAATTGGCTAATAGGCAGGCAAATTGCTGTATAATGAGATTTTTACCTCGCTGCATTCTGTTTAATGGTTTTCTGTATATTAAAATTTCCGTGTAATGACCATCTGCGTATTCGACGCTTTGATATAGCTTTAAGCGCTTGGAAATGATGCTCATCGACACCTTCACGCAGTTTCACCCGCATTCACGCATCCCATTTCCAGCGAGTTCTTTTATCCACTAAACCCATCGGAGGCTAGCACCAGAGTTTATGCCAGCAGCCGAAGCCGAACCTTCCCAGCCCAAGCCATATTCGACGAGCAAAAAAGCCTAGGGCTTCCATCTGGACCCTCAACATGTGCCCCAGGGCCACTCATATTTTATGGCGCTTTTCGACAAACTCTTGGGAACGCCTTGAGACCGCGCGTGCAGACACTTTGAATTTGGTTGGGAATCCGGTTTTAGCGCTGTTTTTTGGGCAGGAGGTATGCAAATGATACAAACACAATTGTATGGTGTGGTTAGGTCCAGGTTTATCTTTGGCTTACGCGTAAAACTAAACTTAGTATCACGCTTCAACTTTGAACAGAATTAAGGTCAGGTTAAGGCTTAGGATTCGACTCATGCTCCCTAAGCTTGAGCTTAAGGCCCTGGTTATGCCTAAGGATCAATGCGGACTTAAGCTTAGGTTTAGACTACGGCATAGACGTATACAAGTAGCATGACGGAAGTATGATTGCGGCTTATTCTTCAAAGTCCTGTTTTCCCTCGAAACGTGCGATTTTTTTCGCCAAAAATGCGTCAAAATAATGACCTGACAGCTGCAGGCACAACCCCACTCTCTCTACTAGGTTTTGACATCTCCAAAGCACATTGTTTCCCCTCTAAAACATATATATTCCTTTTTTTAATTCCTCCAAATACTAACCCACCGACTCGGGTCCTTCCCACGGCCATCGGTCGATTCCCCCACTACCTGTTCGATTTTTCGATGCCGAGTTATTTGGTGATTTCACGATCCCTTTGGGGGAGTTTGAAGTTTTGGTAATTTTTAAGATTCTTTTAATGTTCCAAATTGCCAGATTTCTGACCATTCGTTTCCGGGCATTAGTGTGGGAAAGTGAAAAAGTTATTCCGGGCACGAATGTGCTGAGTTTGTGCAAAAAAGGGTGGCAGGCTCTATTTCCTTAAAGCCATTTTTTGCTTTAATAATTTCCGAAATTAATCGCGGGGGCTGGAATTTGGAATAGGTTGCTTAATGGGGTATTTTTGTTTTTGTAGTATTTTTGTTTTTCAACATTAATGTGGACTTGTTAAGTATGTAGTATAAGCGGAAGATCCCTTATTTGGAATAGGTTGCTTAACGGGGGAAATGAATTTGGAGGTTTTGTTGGTGTTCAGCTTTTTTGAAACTGCAATCGAACTGGGCGTCGAAAATTATACTCTAATTCCAGCCCAAAAGCCCATTTTATAATTATTTAGTTAAATTGGGATCCTTCAGTTTCAATTTTAAATTAAGTTTCATCACCGCTATTTCGCCCCCCCCCTCCCGTTAAGCCACCTTTACCTCCTTTTCTTTATCTTATAGAGAACTTGATATTCCGCCTCCACCACTCTTCCAAAACCTCGCATCATTTATGCGTAACAATGTGCTCAAGTGGTGTCGGGTGGCCCGAACTAGAGGCATAGACCCAATTCTCAGTGTTCTCGATGTGTCGTCAGAGGCTTCTGAGCAAAAAAAGGGGGGGAAGGAGGTCCCCAGGTGGCCGTCCATCCGGAATTCTGGCGCGCCCGGATTGGGGGTGCCGGATGGAGAGGGGCGGAATCGGTGGAATCCAAATTGTGACCCATTCGCAGCTTCGGCAGTCGCTCAAAAAGGAACGGCTTTGTCTGAAGTTGTTGGTGGTTCGGATTTGGAGGTGTTTTTACTTTTACATTTGGCGTTTAATTAGAAGGATGGCGCCAAAACGAGCCGATCATACCTTAATTTCTTGTCTGGATCCCTTTAAAACGCAGTGATGTTTCTGTCTATTAATGATCTGATCATTCATTAAAGGTAATTGCTAGGCCGTATTAATTTATCGGTTTGATTTGGTGTTACTAGCCATTAAAGAACACCATTATATTCATGTCTATTAGTGCGCCAACATAGTTATTTTAGGTGGCACCTTCCCTTTAAGCCCCAATTATCTTCCCTGCTATTAATGCTCTGTCAGCTGCCAGAGCAAATCCATTGTTTAGAAATCTAAAAAAAAACAGCTTAAAACTGAAGCCGGACCTCCACCGAGTCACCCGAACTCTGATCTAACTCCTCCACCTCCCCCAAATACTTCCCGGTTGCCAGATCCGGCTCCCTCCCTCACTCTCCCGCCACCCCAAGAATTTTCACGCTGATCACGTATTCGGAATGGAGCAAAACGGCACCATTCACGGGGATCCCCCTCCGGACCGCAACCTGGGCCTCCCCTTTTGATATTCGGGAGGCGGAATTGAATCCAAGGTGGAGACGTCGCCTCTTATTGCCCAGCAGCACCTTCTCCTTCACTGGGTCCAGAACCTTCCACCTCAATCTCATAAGCCACTCCCTCCCCCTAGCCAGTGGCTACTCAAAAAGCTCATTCTGCTCTTGGTTCAAGTGAGAATGTCGAAAATTAGAATTCTTAAATCCTTATAGCTTAAAATTCGAACTTGGCCATTTAAATGGAGCTGACGACATAACAGATAATTCTGTTTCTATTTTTTCCTGTTATTTAGGTATTCTGGATTTTAGATGTCAGGTGGTCAGAAGGCATGCTGTATTAGATGTTTTGAGATTCGACATTCTGAAATTTCGGTATTCTAAATTTAGCCTGCCGTTTTTGGGCATCATAGATGCCGGCCGGAACTTTGAAGGGAGGCATTATTGCAATTTTTTCGATACTCCAGCTTTATTTAAATGTTTGATATAATTTTATAAATTATCGATTAAATTTTTTAAAACTTGGCTTCCTAATTTCCTACATTGCGCTAAAATCGGGGTCAAGGACCATATAATATTTATCGTCTTTTATAAATTTTTTATGTCTTGAAATATACCAGTAGCTTGGCTCTGGATCCAAAGGGATGCTTGGGCTAAGATTAGGAATTAGCTGGAAAAAAATCCTCTTTCCTCTCAAATACCAGTTACAAGCCACTTTGTGCGCCGAGCAAATGAGGCGTTGTCACGATATTTTTTGGTGTGGCCCCTCCTCCACCTATTGTGGTCCACAATTAGTCGGAAAGCCTTCGGGGAACCTCCGGGGGCTGATATGCGGTTCACGCGCTGCAGTTTTCGGCGTGGAGTTCATTCATGGTTGTTGTTTTTAGAGAGGGGGATAATTCGGCGTCGGAGTTTTTTGGGAATTAGTCATATATTTTGCAAGATTTGTCGGGGGATTTAAAAAGTGTAGTAAGGGCAAAAAGGGGAGGATTTGGCTAATTCCTTGGAAAATAATTTTGAGGATTCGATAAATTTTTGAATGTCTATTTCGAACTATACCTTTGAAAAAATGTTACTGTTTGTGAATATTTATCTTTAATTTTTCTCTATTTGAATTCAGAGTAACTGTTTCAAACTTAACTTTTGCAAGCCAATGTTTCATTCCTTTTAAGACAAAATTTTCTAGGCCATTATATCTTAAGAATTTTACATATTTTATTGATATACGTGCATATTCTAGAACTATATAAAAATTTGCACGTATTACATATTATTATACTAGTTTATGCTCGTCCACTCACTAAATCAAGACCCCCTTTCTAACCCCACATCCCCATTTCCTTCCATCAAAACCCAATCCTACCACTTTTTCGGGTCAAACAAAACCCTAGGCCAGGATGGGGCTGAGATTTGAACCTTGATTATTCCTTTGGCCCCTCTTCGACCACTCTTCCGACACGTTCTCATCGGATCTTTGGCATTCCAACATCGTGGATCTCATTTCGCTGCAACGAATTCAATGGTTGAACGGCTAGAGTGAAAGAAGCGGGGGATGAGGAGGGCAATTTAGGTTCTGGGTTTTTGGTCAATTAAGGGAGAAAAAAGAAGGGTGGAGGAGGAAATTATGAGTAGGTGTAGTGAACAGAAGGGCAGTGTTTCTAATTAACTGTCTACTATAGAAATGCCGGTGTCTTTAGGGAGAGAGAAGCATTGAAAAAATAGCATTTGGCGTGGTTGTTATCATGCCGGAAGCTTTTTAGCCCTTGCTTCTGCATGGAAATCTGCAAAAATTTGTTTACGACGACTATGTTTTTCTCGGCGTATCGTATCATTGCTCTCTCTCTCTCTCTCTCTCTCTCTCTCTCTCTCTCTCTTTCTCTCTCTCTCTCACTCTCTCTCTATCGCCCTCCCTCTCTCTTTATCTCTCTCCCGCTCTCTATCTCCCTCTCTCTATCTCTCTCTTTCGCTATCTCTCCCTCCCTCTCTCTCTCTGTCTCGCTGTATCGCTGTCTCTCTCTCTCTCTCTCTTCACAGCCACTAAATAAATTCCAAAAACATTTTTCCAACCGCTAAGCCACATTTCCCAAACCTATCCACCGCGATTTCACCATTGTTTTCTACTCCCGAATTAACCACCGACCCCTCATCTGAATTAATACCCTCCGATTTCCCGATGATATTCCACACCCTCCTCGAAAAACTGAAAACATTTTCAGGTGCCCAACTCAATTCTTGGCTGTCATTGGCTGGGGCGGTGTGCCCGTTGTGCTCAATTCCTCATATTCGTGTGTGGCCGTCCCCATCATTTGGTGCTGTTGGCCCATTCTGGTGCGGCGATGATGGAGGCGAATGGGTCTGGGATTGCGCTCGGTGGGTTTGAAGCCGTAGAGAGCCATCGAGGGTGTGGCGCGTCTTTTTATAGACCTTGATTTGGAAAGTGTACTTTAAAGGTTAGCCAAATAAGGCAACCGGAAGTGACGAAAATTTGGAAAACTTTAATTAATACGCTGCAATGCCTTTCTTCGCGTTTTCTTCGTATTATCCCTCGCCCCGTCCCATTTACTTGCAAACGGGTTCCTTCCCTTGTGCCTAACCGAAGAAATGGGTGGGCCCCATGCCCGATGTTGGTGGCCCTTCCTTACCCGGTCGTTCATTCCCATGGCCTCATCTGAGATTCTTCTTGGCTATGTGTGTCCCCTCTTCCTTCTTACCTCACTCATCTTCTCTCAACGACCCCTCAACGTCCATTTTTCCGGCTTCTTCCCGCCTACCCTGTTAGACCAGAGACTAGGAACTTCATAAATCTGGGCCATTACGGCTTCACTGGAGGGTTGAGGGGTTGTTTTGAGCAGGAATTCTGGAGCTCCTCGGTTTCTGCTTGATTTTAAAGGGATTAGGAAGGTTGATTCTAAATTTTCAAATAAGGCTTTAATTGAGCTTTTGATGGCCACCGTCTCCTACTCTGAAATGCCCATTTGCCTCCAACGCCAACTAGATTTTACAATTCCGAAAGGGCGATACATGTACCTAATTTCAAGACTAAACACCAATCCTCCTACGGTATCTCCTGCTCCGCCAATCCGCTTATTTTATTTTGTGCATTACCAGTTCCTCCCCCCCCACGCACCGTCTGCCTTCCTGATTTTTATCCCGATTTACAGCGCGAATTTTTCGAAGGAGAAATTTTGAAAATCTACCGGGTACCTGAAAATTCTGCAGTTTTTTGTAGACCCTAATTTCAGACTCGGCTTTTAATTTGGTCGATTAAGTGAATTTCAATAAGCATTTAAAATTCAGTTGTACGTATTAGTCATGATGTTGTATACATTTATGGCATCCCATTTTATACGTTCCCCTTCCCGGAAACCGAATATTACAGACGCGTTCCAGCTGCTTCGACGTCAATAGGACAAGCCTTTTTTGGGAGAATAGTAATGGGAATCGAAATAGCAATAACTATTCACATTTGACTTAAACGAGCTATAGGGGTTTGAAGCCGTCGTAACGAATTTCAAAGCATTCCAAACTTTAGAATATTACCGTCCTTATTTTCATAATCGGTTTTAATTTTCAGACACGGCGTCGTCGATGCCGATAAGCGTGAATTGGGTAATATTCGTGACTATTTGCGTCCTTGGCATCATCCTCAATATCTCCGTGTTTTGGAAGCGCAAATCATCCAGATCGTAGGTTTTTGATTCCAGCTAGTTTTTCCACGTAGCCACTGCATACATTTTTTTGCAAAAATGTTTGTCCCCCAAATTGCTTCCGGGATATCGATGCCCGGCACTTTGACGCAGTCGCATAATTAGTCAATTCGTGAGAGGAGAGAGAGAGAGAGAGAGAGAGAGAGAGAGAGAGAGAGAGCGAAGCAAACTACAAACCCCTTTTTTAGAAAGCGTCAATCATCAACCACCCACATTTCCTTGTCACTACTATGTACAATGGCAGCTGCAGATACGATCTGCTTGGTCGCACTCTTCTTTTTGCTTAGCCTCCGCTATTGGGGTGTGCAAAGCGATATGTTCTTCACAATTGCTTGCAAGGTGCGTTTTAAATTGGCATCAAAATGGCTTTTTACAATTATATATATCTTTTTCAGCTGGACGTCTTCATCATCCATGCCGCATCCGCATTTTCCATTTGGTGTTGGCTGGTTTTGTCGGCCGTACGCTACGTTGCGATTTACAGGCCGTATACACACTTGAAGATGCATAAGGAACCGCATTTGGCAGTGGTAAGTGCGCTAAAATGAGCTTACTCTACTTGCTACCAATTTCTGAATTTTTCAAAGATGCTCGAACTGCCGTGACAGCACCATCCGGGCAGTTGACACCTTATTACTGGTTCCATCAAGTTGAATGTACAACAAGGAACCTTTTTCAACCCAGTATTATTGCAAATTGGACCTAATATAAAATGTCAACCCAACCCCAAATTATCTGGAGAAAACTTGAGTTCGCAGGGACAGCAAGCAAGCCCGGGGTTCTCTGGCTGATATATAATTTTTGACGTTCACCACCACAGACCTTAGCCAGTGGTTAACGCCGCGTCTTCTTCTGCTTATTATTCGGCGGGCCGTCGTTTTGGGGGAGGGGGAAGACGCATAAAATTACTCAAAACGGAAGTCATGGCGGGGAGGAGGAGGGAGGAGGATGAGTTAGACGTGTTAAACGGGGATTGGGTGTACCTGGGGTGTGGGGAAATTGGCAACATGTGAGGGGGGTGGGGAATTTATTCGGGATGTGGATTAGATGTACTGGGGGTTTGGGTGAGGTGTTTTTAAAAATTTGAATTTAAGAGAAAAGGAATTTGTCGTTCTTTAAATAGAAATAATAAGAAAAAAAAGAGGAAGAAAAGATGAATAAATCGTAATTTACACTAGCTGGTAGTCTAGCAATATTGAATAGCTCTTTCCAGTTATTTCCGGGTTCACTATCTTAAAAGAATGTTGCCAGCAAGCTTATTGCTACCTTTACAAAAACTAACTGTAAAGTGTTTTTACTCAGGTTGGCGTTTCAGGATGGGACAAAGCCTATCTTGTTCAGAATTTTTTGCTGATCCCGAATCCGTTTTCCAAATTTGCTGCGGACTTCGCGTTGAAAATTCATTTTTGGTCTAAATTAAGCTTAAAAACGGCATAAATTCGGATGCTGGCCCACTATTCCCTGTCTGGGTCCAGGTATTGTTGTGCCCCTTACCTACCCTCCCTAATTGTAAGCCGCCTTCCCAGTTGGCACCATAGTGCATTGGTAAGCTGTTCGCTTGCCAGGCACAGGGCCCTGCACAATTTCTTTTGCTTTTTGCACAAAAACACACGATTTTTTTGCATAAAATCGTGCTTTGACCTCTAAAACCATTACCGAGTCAGTTTTAACGTCGGAGGTGACAACAACTTGAAAAATAACGCAAAAAAACCAGATTTAGTCAATTTTTTAGCCTACATGTCGAATAACTTTTTAAATAAAGATCGGCAGCAAATTTGGAAACCAGATTCTGAATCCGCGAAAAATTCTGCACAAGATAGGCTTGGTCCCATTCTAAAACGCCAGCCTGAGTAAAAACACTTTACAGTAAGACTTGAATTTCATTTATACAACGCTTAATGAAGCCCATTTCCATTTCTGACCCAGTTCCGCATCAACCCCAAATCCCGGTGGTGCTTGGCATCTCAAAGCATATTGTCGACGATGGCTTCAAAACTTCGTTATCCATTCTGCGCTGTCCACCTGCCTCCTCTTGCCGCCGCGCAATCCAAAGTCCCGCCCGCCGCCGCTTTTTATCCTTTTTAACGGCGACTCGCACACTCTGAAAAATATTATGCCTTCGGGGGATGGACGTGGTCGTTGAACGCTGCTTTTGGGTAGGGTGGAGTTTGGTTGTGGAGTTTAAAACGCTATGTAGGGATTGAGAAAAATAGGTCAAGCCTTGGAAAAGGATCCGGAAAACGGGGCGGTAACTTAAATTTAGGACATTTAACTATCAATCAACATTACTGTGGTATATCTATAATATATAACCCAGAACGCTGTGGAAGCTTAATGGCACCGAAAAGCAAAAGAAACATATAAATTTCAGATCGGAATCGCCGCCTTCTGTTGCTTGGCGGAATCGTGGCTTCTCTACGACATTACCTACTTCCCAGAAGTGAAAGCGTAAGTTTCAAATTCTCCAGTTCAATTACAACATCTAAAAGTTTCCGTTTTACGCGATCTTGTTTTTGCTCAGACCCGAAGTCCACACTTCCGCTTGTTAAATTCCTTTTTTGTTCACCCCAAGGTCCGGAGTTCGTTGGTCTTTGTCCGGATTGAAAGTTGGCCATCCCTGGAAAGTACCCTCCGGGCTATCTCTCTCTCTCTCTCTCTCTCTCTCTCTCTCTCTCCCTCTCTCCCTCTCTTCTCTCCTTGGCCTGGGATTGTCCACAAAAAATGTGTGGCCCAAATTTGATTAGCGAGCACATCCAGCCGTCCTTTTGGGAAGGAAAAGCACATGGGGATCGGGGCATGTATCAATAAGAGCACCCGAAAAAAATAAAACTTGCCTTGGGATCAAGTTCCGCATCGATATATTTAGATGCGAATCAAATTCGGATGAAGCTACCGGGCAAAAGTTGCAGATTGTCGAGATTATCATCTCGTATTTTCTGCCGGCCGGGATTATCACAATACTCGATTTAAAGGTACTATTAAGTCATTAAAGCTGGATATAATAATTTATTTAGGTTTTATTTTGCCGTACGGTTTGGTGGTCTGGGATCGGGACCAATCAGGCGGATAAGCAGTTTGCGTTAATTTCAAATGGGGATCTCGCAGAGCAGGAAGCAAAGTAGGTTTTGGGATTTTGGATTTAAGGGGATTGGGAAAAAGAGTTTTTGTACTGGTATACAAGCTGTAAACCAATTTTTAGTGTTTATGATTAAGGTATATACTGGGTGTCCCAAAAAAAAAGCACCCCCCTCTAGCGGTCCGGGGGAAGCTCAGATCGGGATAATTTTTATACCATTCGAAAGCTCTCGGAAAAGCGAGAAAACAAGCGGGATTTATTTTATGAAATTTATTTTTATACGCTGGATATTCAACGTTTGCTAAAAAACAGGTAGACTTTCATTAGGAATTTCGCAATTAGCATGCAGATCTCGCGTAAATCTGCCGTTTTAATGGTTTTTGGACGTAAAATTTGCTAATAACAATAGATAATAAAGAAAATGAACCCTCCTTGTTTTTTCGCCTTTTCAAGAGCTTTCGATTGATACCTAAGCGATAAAAATCGGACACGACTGCGCGCCGCTAGAGGGGGGTGCTTTTTTTTTGGGACACCCTGTACAGTATTAAAGTACCCCAAGATCTAAAACTGTCTTACAAAGTATGAATTTTGAATAGACAGGGGCACATGGTGGTGAGTGCCATGCTACTCCAATCGGGTCGCATTCTGACGTCAGCGACCAGTGTTCTTGACGAAAAAACATTAAAAAAGATGAGGTACCACCTAGCTTGTTAGCTTGGCCGTGGCCTATAACCCTCGACATTTTTTTACTTATAATTATTACTAGCGGTGCCAATATTGTAATAGCTTTTGTATTTTACGGGAAATGCGAGGATTTTAAAGGGAACGTGACAGTAGGACATGCTTCTTTTAAGCCTCAGACGTCGTCAAATCTTAATAGGTGCATGTTTCGTAAAATTATAAAGCCTGTTTATATAACAAATTTGGGACCTTATATTATCCAGTTTTTATTAGCTTCGTGCGTTCCATTGGTGTACAATATTCGTGACGTAATAGCCGTCCAGAAGAAAGCAAATTTATTTTTTGTTAATGTTCGCGCTCACCCGGTCTTAACACTAATTGCCCGTTTTTTGGTATTGACGTGTCGCGCGTGAGCTCACCAGTGAAACATAGACACTAACAGCTAAATTTTCTTAATTTTAGAGCAAAACGAAGGGCTCAACAGTTGAAGGTGCTGCGCCGGTGTCTGGTGATTACGGTGTTCGATTTGGGAATGAATTTGCCGAGCTATTTGTATAGATTGTATTTGTAAGTTTTAATATTTAAAATTAATTAAATGCTTTTGAAAAATCAGGCAGGAAGATGCACTAATAAAAAGAATGCGTTTTGTAGGTGTACACTAACGGAAGAAGAAATGTTACAACTGGACCCGAAGACCCAATCTTTGATCGAATTCGTCACGCAGATCATGTATTTCGCGCAGGTAAGCCCACAATAACAATTGTAAAAATTAGAATAATTGTTAGAAAAAGCAAGAAAAGCCAATTTTTTCAGTTCTCATTAAATGCTCTCTACCTCGTTTGCATCATCTACGATACCCCTAAGAAAAGGCGAAGGATTCCGGCGTCAAGGTAAGCCAAAAATTGAAATAAATCAAACATTTTCCCCCGAACCTTTTAGCCATAAACAGGACAAGCCGGATCCGGAAGGAAAATACTAGGGCAAGTAGAGCAATAAAAAACCCCCGATACGCTAACATGTCATTTTTGATTTTTTGCGACACGTTTGGTGTTTGGCTTTTTGAACTTGTCCGTTGTGCCCGGCTGGGATCCTTGAAAACGTCTACTTCAAGGGTCACGGGGCTTTCGAAGGTCCAAAATAATAATACAATCCCGTCATTTTCAGTGCCTCATACGCCTCCGGAATGTCAAAGCGCAGCGTTCTACAGCAGAAAGACAGTCGCACCATTGATTTTTAAGCAGTTTAAGGGACTTGGAAACTTCTAAAAAATTTGCCTGTATTTCCGATTGTGATTGATCTCCTCCACCTTTATATTCGGGTCTATCTTTCACGTGTCTGTGTGTTTTCCCCCCTGTACGTTATCATAAAGTTTATATGGTATTTGGAGCAAGATTGCCATCTATTTACAGCAATAGGAGATGAATTCGCCCTGATGGCAGCTTGAGCCTGAGGGGTGTGTAAGAAAATAAAAATTTTAGCTACCTCTCGGGCAAAAGTCGTGCTCACATTTGAGCCCGGTGAAGAGGGAATCAAAACCAAAGCGTGGTGCCTTAAATAAAGTTTTAAAAAACGACGAAAACCGACTTTATAAGCTTCCTTTCCTTTTGGGCAAGCCGGCTCGTTGTCGGCATTTTCTCTTTCTAAATTTATTTTTTTTTTGCGCAAGTCACTCTATCTTTACTAATCGAATCATTGCTGCAACAAAGGCCAACGGCAAAACCCATTCGGCATTTGGCACCCTGAAAATTTAGAAAATCAGATTTTTCCATTTCCTACCTCTGCACACTTTTTCTGATGATTACAGTACGATTCACCTTTGGCATCTTTGACTGGGTCGGTATTTCCCGGGCAGAAGTTGAGATCGGCTAAAAAGTTGAAGCTCAAGCTCAATTTTTAGCGAAAGTGTTATAATTCACAAGACTCTTTACGTGAGTATTTTATAAGGCCTTTCCTTACCTGGTAAACAGTTAAAGCAAGCGGATTCGCTCTCAAAATTATTGCCATTCCCCCCGCATCCATTATAACGGAATGGGAAGCATTGGAGTCGATCTTTATCCATGTAATACTAAAAAAGAGAGTGCTTTTAAAGAAGGGGATTAGCCATAATCTTCGATATTTATTATCGCTCGGCGACGGCTACGCGTTCATCCGCGGATTAGATGATAATTCGCAGTCCAAACATGTGCGAATCAAAACAGAGCTGTGGTAAATTTAAATACAGTATACTGTTCGGTTTCTACAATAATAAAAAGTAAAACCACTCTCTAGATGATTGTAAAATCACATTTCATAAATCTAAAATTTATTTTCGTACCCTTATTGTAGAATTTCCGCCACACTCCCTTCCACGATCCAATGGCAACGAACAATGGCCGGGCAATTGAATATTTACTTAAATTTTAAATATTGTAGAATTTCTACAAAAATAAGCTAAACCCACGTCCAGCAGATGCCGTAGCCACAAACAACAATATCGTCCACATTTCTGAAATACAGTAATTTTGCGGGATGTTTCGGGTGTTTTTGGGGGAAATGCATCGGAAAATTGCAGGTGAAAATCAAAAGTGTTTGTTTACATTTGAAGGGTCGGGGATGGTCGCCCGAAAAAAACAATGCAGTTTCAAATATTTATATATGGGGGGAAAAGGGGGCGCAAGAGTTTATGTATACAAAAATAGGCTGGAACAACTAAAACGGAAGTGCCTAGTTTCGATAGCAGAAGTATTGCATGAAATTTCGAAAATTAATTTAAACCAGGTTTCAAAGCTTAAAGTTTGGAAAATCGGTGAAATTTTGGAAAGTAGTGAAAAACGTGGGGGGGGGAGTAATTTGGATAGCTCGGAAATTCTATAAAATTTATATTTTTTTGATCTTCGATTTCAAGAATACAATCTCAAATAATTAAAATCAGCTTTTTAAATCAAGCTTTTAAGCATGCCGCTAGTTTTTCCGGAAAGTTTCGAAAAGTAATGGAAAAGTTGAGGGAAAGTAGGCGCGAGCCCGGGTAATTTGTGGATAGAATGGCGGAGGAGGTGGTGGAATAGATGGGGACACAGAGAGCTACACAACAATTACTGTCATGGACAGACAGACAGATAGACAGACAGACAAATACATATCTGTGGGATAGCCAAGAGACAAACAATCACATTGTCCTTCATTTCTATTCAAAAGGATCGAGGGGGAGGAGAGAGAGAGCGAACTGTCGAGTATCGATCCTCGATAAATATGGCCATTTCGGATCAGGAAAAGGCGGTACAGGGTGGAATCTTATAAAGGGGATTATAAATCGGGTGATTTTTTGAAAATAAATCATGCTAAATATGGAATCATGTTTTTATCTGGAAATCCCAAAACTGATCAAATCTGCTGGAAAAATGTAGTTTAAACAAGTTCACGTAAATTCTAAAAATGCCTTTTTATTAGCGCCGAAATTTTGCATTTTTAACAATTTTAATTTATTTATATATTTACAAAATTTATCTAAGTCCGTAATGATATTTAATATAAATTTAGAAAATTGAAAATTTTGGTTTGAACAGGTAATCAAACAATTTACAAAAAACCCAGAATTTTTCTGTCTATAGATGAATTGGTTGTCTCAAAGCTTCAGCCTGCACGTTTTCAACAATATTTTATTGGTATTTATCGACCGGGCACAAATTACAATATCCTATATATAAAACCGGACATGAAATTAAATAGATTTAAAACCAAAATGGCGCCTGACAACGTATGCCAGGGAACACCATTATTCTGGGGTGGCGTTGGAATATGGTTTTTCGAGTCGCAAGGTTTACATCGAAAACCGGTTGCCGGAGGAATATTGGCGGAAATCATTGGAATTCGGCGAATACAGTTTTTATGCTGCAAAAATGAATTCGCCAAACTCCTGAAAACCGCAAAAACCCGGAACTGAAGGTTTATATACTTTCAATCTCGGGTCCTAGAAACCTTGAAGAGTTTGGATAGGCATGGAATTATTTGGAAAGTGCGAATGAGCACAGTAGTCATGGGTGTTTTCAATTCTCCACTGGACACCAATAGAAATATGCATGGAATATTCGGTTCTGTACAGTCTCTGAGGGGAGACGGTCAAAAAAGGGAAAGAAGATCACAATAGGAGTAGGGAGGGGGAGGGGATGAGGATCACGGTCGAACGAGTCGCTCGACTATTCGTTTTGTACATGTTTTAGAGTGGGATGGATGGAGGAGGAAGTGAAGTCCCGCATATTTAGATGACAAAAATTGGGTTGCCGTGGTAGATGGTGGCCACTTGGCATTCTTCTTTCTTTTGAGCCTTTTCCTCATCTTTGATTTCGGCATCTAAAGTGAGGATGTTTTATAGTAGAGTATATTGTTGTCCAAGTAGAATTCGACACAAATCTTATTTCTTAAAGATTTAAAATTTAGTTGTGCTAAACAAAATCTGGATATACTTTTGGCGGAATTTCAGGTTGTATTTTCTCTATTTCATACCCTTGCGTTGCCGGCATCGTTGGCACAAGATGAGGTCGAGGCAGAAGACGAACACGCAAAGCAGGGCAATAACCACGAAGAGACATGCCAAGACGATAATCTGCGATTCGTCCGAGGAAAGGGAAGTCATCGAGTCTGAACACCGGGGTATATCAACTTTTCATCTTTGTATACCTGAAGTGACCGAGTCGGAAACAATTCTGCTCATTGTCGGTTCATCCGGGAATGCCGTGGCAACTGGAGGGACCGCGAAGAGCATCGTTTAGTGGTAGAAGGGGATCTGGAAGTATGGGTTTAATAAAAAAATTGATTGTAAACATAAATTATAGAATTCGGAATAAATTATAAAAATTCTCTATTGTAAATCTAGAACCTCGCGACTACCGTATACCTAACCCCCCCCCCCCCCCCCCCCTGGAATCGGTGAAAAGTCGAGATGGAAGTGTAAGAATGAGGAGCCCTCCGGTATCACCCGGGGGGAGATATCCCGTGATACTCGGGATCCGTCATTTTTCCGTGAAAACGACCGATGAGGAAAGAGCATCAAGATGGGGAGGATGAGACAGAAATGGCCTTGAGAATGCTGAGAACTGTCACATGGATTTTGATCGGCCAACTGTTCTGATCATATTCTCTAGTTGGGTTCAGGTGGTATGGGTGGTCTCATAGGTATGAATTTTCTTTACACATTAAAGCCATTTAATAGAGATTTGATACATATAAACTCGATGATGCAATCTTTGCAGTGTAATTAACCGTTTATCTCGATATTGAAGTTAGTTATATCTTGGAAATTGGAAAAATCTAGTTCCTCAAATTATCCTAGACATCCTAGACTTTAACTTATAACGATATTAAAACACCGGACATTTCACCATTTTTAACAATTAAATATAATAACCTAAATAAAATACTAAACTTGACAACCGACAATTAAAATTATTACAAAAAAAATCCAATCAAAAATAGATAACAGAATGTTGGCTCGGCTTGGAGGATGATGATGATGAGACTGTATGGAAGGTTCTTGGCGCCACCCAACGCCTCGCTCCCATCAATCAACCCGGAAAATGAGAAAGAGCTAGTGATCGGTGGAAATGGGGGGATGAGAGAAAATGAGAACCGGGGTAAGACCTGTTTTCCACCCATCCCCCCACCAACCATTTCTTTCTATCAAATCGGCAAAAATAACTGCCGGAGGTTGGGGTGATCGATTGGGGAAAATGGTTTTGAATTTTTGATTTGTTAATTTTTGTTGGGGATGGAAGATTAGGAGGAAAAAACTAGGCTTATTTGGCTTGGCCTTGGGCTCAGGTCGGGCTCAGACTTAGGTCCGGGGTTAAACTTGGGTTTACATTAGGCTTGGGCTTAGGTTTAGGTGGGGTTTAGACTTAGGTTTAGGCTTCGGCTTAAGCTTAGGCTTAGGCTCAGGCTTAGGCATTGACTGCGACTTAGGCTTAGGCTTGGGTTTGGACTTTGGCCTTAGGCTTAAGCTTATTTAGCAGCTTCGGGAAATATGTTTTAAGTGATCTCAATAAATAAGCCGTTAAAATTAGGGAATTCAGGTGCAAATGAATAAGCTCACCCTGCAGATACGACTCCAAGAGGGCACAACCCCACTATCCTAATAACAAATAATAAAGCATGATAAGCGACATGCCTCATTCGCTTGTCCATCCCTTTCAAAAGTACACCCGGTCACCCGCCATCCGCGTCAGCTGTTTCCATTTCCGTTGGTTGTGGAAATCTGGTCAGCCCTTGAACTTTAAACCCATTTATTAACCAGCATAAATCAATAAACCAAATAATAAATACAATCCAAAAATCGGGAAATCAGTGAAGTGAGATCGTATGCACTGGGATCACAGGCCGTCAACATCGTAGGGGAAGGGAGGGGGATTTAAGCAAATTTGGCATTTTAGGAAGTATTGAAAGCACCGGATTATGGGATGGCGAGGAGATACGTAGAATTAGGCACCGACAGGGCTTTTTAGCTAATAGTTAACTTTAAAAAAACTTAAAACTAAAAAGCCTTGACTCCAGAAATAAATAAATAAATAAATAATTCATAAAAAATAAATAAATGTAAAAATGAACCTGTGACAATTTGGCAGTAAATTAAGTCATGACAGATGATAATAACAACACAAATAAATAGCGCATACATTACATAACAATATTAAAAATTGGAAAAGAATCCTAGACCCGGGCCTTGAGGGTAGTTGATGTGTCGACGGTAAGAATCCCAGCTGACAGTCAAAATTTGCCAAAATGCATATCGTAGACGAGGCATGGGGAAACTGTACATAGGTTTTTACGGACGCTGGCTTCGATTTCTTTTCGGACGTGTTCAAATTCGATGAGGCCGCCCGCCTGAAAGGTATTAAATGTTCTGAAGAAGCTTTAAAATTATAAATTTTTGGAAATTGCCAGTTTTATTTTTATTTGAAGTCTCTGGACTTTTATTTATTTTGATTCAAAATTCAAAAATTTTCGATTAATTTTGGCTGCTCTATCCGTTGGCATGCTTGAATAGGTACAACCAGTCCCGTCAAGCGAAAAGTTGCTTCCACCCTTCGTTATCCCCCCTTAAAGGGGCTCAGAAGTCAAAATTCGTCCGTGCGGGGATTGAACCTACGGGTCAAAAAACGAAAGGATCACTGCCGAGAACTACCAGAAAAGTGATTTCGTTGCGAAAAAACGTAAAATGTTTGAAAAAAACCTAATTCTTTTTGGGGCGAAAACGACATTTTGAGGGGGCAGGGATTACATGTCGTAATGCCTTGTAAGGCACCCAATCTCTCGATCTCGGCGATTCTCTGGTCAATTTTCATAATTTAAAAGTCTAGAATGGTCTAAATTCGTTGAGGATTCTAAAAATGGTATCAGAATTTTTAAATTCAAGCGTTTTCGCGTCCAAACAGGGGCAAAAGATCATGCGGCGCGGTTGCGTTGCGGCCGCATCTGGCTATTTGCCAGGAATCACAGCAGGGGGCCGTGGACCAGATTTCGGAGCCCCTTTAAGCAACCTTTACCCCGAAACCTACCACAAGAGCGTTTTTCAATTCCAACAACAGTCGAACCCGAAGAAGCTTCTCCTCCGTATCCAAAAGTCCGTACACTTCTTCCACATAAAACACCAGCAGCTGTTCATACTTTTTCCGCGCGGCATTCACAATTGTGCGCCCATCCTCGGATAGGTCGATATCTAAGCGAGCATTATCTATTAAAAAACAAGTGCACTTACTCCCTGTATACATTATGATTTGCTTTAGGATGCAAAATTCCTGACCGCTCAAACGGAGCTTCTCCATTAAGGGTAGCACGCTGCTTTTCAGGAGTGCGATCATACTCGTTACATAGGGATCCCTGCAAAGTTCAGAGTTTGCTTTATTTTCAGTTTAATTCAAGCTCCTTCTGAATGAAATGAACAACGACAGGTGGTTGCAGGTGGTGGAAAAGCTATTAAATTTTCAAGCCTGTCCTTAAAACACCTGCTCGGGTTCAGTCAATCCAGGGCTTTAATGGTTTCAAAAAGTAGTCTATTTTTCATACAAACATAAAAATTCAAAGAACGTACCAGCATTTGCCAGTCTCAAAAACATAACCATCTGGCAGCAGATAACCGTCAACTTTGTATTTGAATGTATTATAGGCGATGGTACAAAAATGCATAGTTGACATTTTGGGGCCGATTAGGGTTAACTGAAAAGCAAGAACCTTCTGTCATGGCCCCATTAAGATACGGTACCTGATCCCTCGGTGACATTATATGAATTTCCGGACATGCAGCCACCCAATCCAAATAATACACGGCGCTACGGTGGAAAATTCGGGCGTAATCCAAGGTGCTGCGAGGAGATCGGGAAGTTTTGTAGAAGGCCTAAATATTGAAGCATTGATAGACCCATTCAAGGTTGAAAGGAGCTATTCATTCAAACCGTAGAAAGAACAAATCATATTTCGCTTTGTTGACAAGAGCAACGACCAGATACGCTTTTCATTTCATTGCACCTGCGAATTCAACGCTACATTCAAAATTATTTCGATGGCCCTTCCCCCTCGGGACCTCCACCCCCCCCCCACACACAATGCCAATGAATGCCGCACTTTGCGTGCTCATTTTAGAGATACCGTAATCCCTGGGGGGGGGGCTCTTGGTCAAGCGGAAAAAAGGGAAAGGGCCAGCCGTGCCCCGCCAGACTAAAGAATTCCGGACTACCGTAATTTTATAGACGGCAGGACAAAAATGGGCAAAGTTAACGCTTCTGTGCGATAAAAATTATCTTAATTATGTGTTACAGTTGTAAAACCATTTCTGAGGGTATTTTTTTGGCCCTGTATCGAGCTGCCAATTTCTAAATCACAAAAATACGAAAAATAGCTTTCTTTCATTTACTATTAACGATTAGCAAATGACTAACACACCGGTGTCCGCAAGCATACCGCCATCGGATTCGTCACAGCATCAGCCAGCGAGACCGCATATGTAAAGCAAGGCTCTTCGTCATCCAAATGCAAGCTCCCAGCATCAAAGTTACAGTACCTACAAGCATTTAAAATTATATTTTTAGCCTTCGCGCTATAATTTAAATGTGACCCACATTTCCAAGGCAAATAGCCTCTCAGCTAGCCGTATCGGCTCTTTGAGACCATCACGTAGTAATGCCGTAAATGACAATCCAACCGGGGGTGATCTTGTGAATGAATCCTAATCGAATCTGATAGTCTGTCCTAATTACCGTACCTGCAAGTAGATGCTGGTATAGCTGCGGTCAAAGTAGGGGACAACGGCTGTTGGTTGGCCATTGTCTGATGAGTTTGTGTCTGGAAGGAGGCAGCACTTTTAACATTATATCCTATACTTATACGAAAATTTATTACGACGGAATTTCATTAAGCTAGTGCGCCAAAATGCGTTTAAGGACCGGTTGGGTTGATTATCGTGTTTAATTTTACTTTATTTATTAAACGCAGCTAGCATACTTCTAAGCGCTTTATGGAGTATTATGAACATCTTCAATTACCTCTCGATGTCGAAGGCTGCTCGGGCGAATTTGCGTCTCCAAGTGCACCCGCTCCAGTATCGTTATATCGTCGATTTGCCCGGATCCCAACCACTAAAACGACATAAAAAAATTGGTTGTCAAACAATCGATCACTCACAGTCGGCTCTCATCCCCACTTGACCGCATTTCCCAAAGCGGCACGCTCGACACTTGATAATGTCTAAAGGGGAAAAGTTCTTGGAATTAGCAGGGGTAGCAATCATTTGAGGTATTGCAACCGTTATGAGATCGATTAGGGGAATAAGAGAAAAAAGGCATTCGGACTTTCCCGTCATTTGGTCCCTTGTTTTTTTCGTTTCAGACCGGTCTACCCTTCATCTCCAATAAATAGAAAAAACCACGTAACCTACTCGCGCGTAAGCTGGCTCACTATACCGATCTTCCAAACGACCCGTTTCAGAAAAAAAACGAAAAAAAATACAAGAATTTATTTTTCACTACCGTATGGTCGGTTTTAAGTAGATTTGAGTTTATTTTCGGATTTTTAAGTTTTCACGAAAACTGAAAATTATAGTTATAATTCCTTGCAAATAAATTATTTTAAGCCACGCCCACCAGTAGGTAGGTGGGTAGCTCCTCCTCATGCTCATCCAATACCTTGGGGATTCGCGCAAATCCCTCCCGCGTGGCATACAAATCCAATCCCGGCTACCACGGTACGCATGAAGAACACTTTGCAACCACTAAAATTATTATAATTAACAAAACTATGTTTACGTTACCTGCATACAAAGGCTCCATAATAAACACCGGTATGTTTTTCCGATCTGCATACCCTGCATGCATCCATCTGAAATTAGGAGTTACATCACATCCAATAAAAAAAAGTTGTGAATTGAAGAAGATCCTTAAGCTATTCCAAGACAAAAGGACTTTCAGTTTTTCATCTTCCGCGTCTGCTAAAATGCAAAGTGCTCGGGCAGTTTTTAAGCAAGCCATTATGTCGACATCGGGCTACTGTAGGATTGGAGCTGATTTAGCCCCGGCCCACCCCTCTCGGCTCGCCCTTCTGAAGAACTACGCTACGCTGAAAACCTACTTGCCAGCCGGTTTCGTTTTTTAAGTACCTTTTTCAGTTTCTAGGCGTGGAGATTTTGCTTTTCAACATTTTTTCATAAGTGTTTTTAAGTCCGCGACCAGACAGACTCATTTTTTTCTGGTTTTTGTAGCCGCTCTCTTGCCTCCGCAGAAGAATGGGATTTCAACAAAAAATATTCCTTTCTGCATCACCGGGGGGGGGGGGCTGGCTACCGGCCAAACGCGTCAACAATTGTACGCTACGCGCTTCTTTAGTGCGAAAAAATGGATGCATACGCAATGGGGAACGTGTAGCCACGGGGGGTGGAGAAATGGGTGGATACGTGGTGGTCGGATGCGGAAATGTGGTGTGAGAACTTGCAATTCTCTGGGTGAGCAAATGCTATCAAGATAGGTCTAATTTCGAAAAGTAAATAAGAAGTGAACTTTTGGAAAAGCCCAAGATTAAGCTTAAAAGCTGATAATTATATAGTTTAATACCTATTTTAATAAGGTAAAGATCCGTGCTTTCTTAATTTTTAACTACTAGCAATTATCGTAGTCTAATTTTTAATATTCAGATTGGTAGTTCTAATTAATAACCCGTCTAGGCGCCCCCTGATCCCAGATTTCTCCAAAGTCTATCTGACTGGCTTGAATGGGTATCACAGGTACACGTCCCGGGTTCCCACTTTGCACCCGTATGCAAGCAGCTGCTCATAGCAATTAGTCGGGAACCAACGGTTGCGATTCATGTGGAGCTCGAAGGGAAAACCCAGCAGCCCCCGCAAGGTATCACCAATGAACTTAATTCTGAAAATGGGCAAAAAAATCAGACCTGGTAGAAACCAGAACTTCTTTGCCGGCCCGGAAAAGTGATAAAAGGCTCATAATTAACGTCAGAACCGGGCCTAGCAAAAGGTTTGGCTAGATACAACGATATGGACTTTTTTGGGCAGCTAACCAGTACTGTAAAATATCCATGCACTAAATGACGCAATTATTAAGAAGCCCAGAAACACAAGAGATTGATGGGGTGAATCAAGAGACCGGAACCAATCCGCAAGTAGCACCCCCCCACTTCCTACTGGATTTCCACGGATTTTTCCACTTAATATCCGATCAACAACCTCTCAAGCCCCTCTACTACAACCTCCAAACAAATAGAAAAACAATAAAATTTACCGTAGGGCGGGGATGCAGATGGATTGGGTCAGATTAGCTCAGATTAGGTCAGATAGTGGGCGTCATCCGGGGGTTAGCCAGGGCAATTCCATTTGCTGGGATGTTCCAGGGGGGTAGACGTCTAAAGCAAGATTCGACTCGCCGGGGAGAAGCTGTGCCTTTTCAGGGTGGTGAAGTGGGACCTGGTTGGAAACGTGAGGGAGTGGCCAAAGAATAGAGGACCCAGATGGTCAAGGGGCGACCATGTAGTCTAGCTTTCATGTCCCTGATCTGGGGTCTTATTTTTGAGGGTAAGCGAATTAGTGGAAAGTTTTTGGATTTATTACGTTGATCTGGATAATATCATTAGGTATATTATAGTATAAAGTGATTTTGATCAATAAATATGCAAATTTTCTGAAAAATATGCTCTTTCATGTGCAGATTTTTTTTGTTTGAGACCTTTTGGGCTTCAGAATTCAACTTGATTTGCATCCTAAGCTGACATATACGCATACCAAATTGAAAAAAAGAAAATGAACAATGAAAAGACAAAAGTACAAAGATCTAGCAAAATTTTCTCAAATCCTCAACGTCAACGGAAGTTGTTTTGCAAATTTGAGATTCTATCTGGATTGATCCATTTTCAAGGCTTTTGGCGCTTCAAAATCAGAATGAATTATCGTTGCAAACTTAAAACGAACACAAAGATTAAAGACTAAGGACTAAAAACGACTTTCTGTCTGGAATTTCCCACGTCTCGGTCTAAAAAGTTCGTTACAAGCACCAAGCCAAACATTCCTATGCAAGTCCCCCCCCGTTTATATTCTCAAATGGGCGGAACATTGTCTAGACCTTTTATGAAATCCCATAAAGAACAGAGCCCATTTCCAATCCCATTTTCGGGCGACCACGACGAAATTGGGCCCACCGGCACAATCCCTTTATCAAGTCAGTCATTTGTAGCCAAGCCCCTCGTCAACATCGCTCGAAATGAACTTGTAGCCCAAACGTGACTCTAGAATAGTGGTGATTCATCTAGGACGGCCACCTTTCCCCGCTACGTATGATTATGGGGTTGGGAAATTAGTCTAGGCTCGCGTGGGGAGAGATGAAAACCTAAAACTAAAAACCAGCCTACCCTACAAAAATGCCAAGATCGGTGCTAATCCAGGGTACAGTCTATTTTCCAAAAATCCATGCAAAAGATGGGGGTTCTCTGGGACAATGCGCTGTTTTGTTGCGCGGTGGAAACCCTAGAAGGCGGGGCAAAGGCTGCCTAATTGGCTTGGTCAAATGTTCAACAAAAAAAAATGGCAATTGGTCTGTGCGACGTTTGTACTTATTATTCATCAGACTGGTGAGGTAGTTCTGCTTTTCTGCATTTACTGGGGAGGATTAGGCACATTTTACGGACTTGCAAGTGTTTATTAAATCAAGGGCTTTCATGATTTCACTTAACAAGAAAATAATAACCGTTTTTTGAAGGGAAAAGGGATAAATCAGAAATTTAGCAAGTAATTCCGATAAAATGCCGACCTAGATTTTTTCGCCTTAGAGCTACTTTGAGCCATTTTTAAACCTAAAATTACGGTTCGATTTTCCCTACCTTCCAAGCCCTTTAAACTTTGCTTATGGTAGAATCTCTGCATCAATTGGTTCCCCTATGCCTCTAAGCGATGCGGTGCTTGCATCACCTTGCACGTAGCTACCGTAATCCCCGGGAGACAAAGACCATTCCCATGCCTGATTTGTAGGTCATCTTGCCCACGGGGCCGTGCGTTTTGATCGGCTCACAAACCATATCAACGGCTTGCATCTACAGGAAGGAAGCTAATGTAACGTAGTGTATCGGAATTTTTAGATGTCATGGCTGGGGATGAAAGCCAGGGATGAAACGAAATTCATGATTCAGAATATGATGTAAGCTTACGATTTGTAACCGTAGTGTAGGAAAATTCCAGGTTAGCCATGAAACTGGTCCGAACAGTCAAAGAATTTGTTATTATGGTAGAGTATCAGTAACATAATTAGAATCCATCTTAGCCATAGATCAACATCACTGATGTATTAAAACATACTTTATTTGATTAAATATTACAATTAACATATAAAAATGTTTGAATAACTATCACTTATAGCTGTCCAAAGCCAAAAATCAATTTCCAACTCCAAAAACAACAATTGTTCCACGAGCACAAGTACAATCGCTGTCCCGCAAAAGGGCTGTCCTCACCGGCCCTATCGCGCGATCAGGAATACACCAGCCCGGCTACCGTTTTTCGATTGGGGGACCGCCCATTGGCCGATCCCCTTAAAACCGTATCAATGGTCAGCGTGCATGGGGCGTTTTGTGCTAATTTGGATCTGGCGGGTAGGCTGATGGATGGCTGGGTGTGACGTTGCAAACCCTCCACGAAAAATCGAGCGCCTTTGACGTTGCCCGGGAAATTCCGGAGGCAGAGGTCGCGTGCAGGTAGCCAAGTTTTTGGGAATTGCTCTTGGGTAACCCCTTATTTTAGCGTCGATCATTGAGCGAAGGTTATAGATTGGAAGATCGAACCACCTCCTTTCACTTTCCCCTTTAGCCTAGCCACTGACCGCCCTGTTTTTACGCTCGGCCAGACAGGATCACCCGTCCCTCGATTAGGCGATCGCCGAAACATCGTTCCTGCTCTTTCCGTTGTCCGGTCTCGGTGCTATCCATGACGAGCTCCATAGTTTTAGTGGATCCATAGTGTGATTTCTGCCTGGAGCCAATTGGTCCGGTGATTCCGCGGAAGCGTAACCATTTTTGGAGACTTTCTACCGCGTAATAGCCAAGATTTATGCCTAACAGCAATCGACCCTGATTTCTGGGTAAAAAAGTGAAAAATGAATGAAAAATGTTTTAAGAAATGCATAATGGTCACAATAAAACCCGAGCTCCTGGAAAAACTTCTAAACTAATAGCCAATTATCTTACACCATCCATTTTTCTACAATCATCCGCAAAGATTTAGGACCCGCACTTTTGGGACTTTAAAAGACGCCCATTTAGCACTTGCTTTGCGATGGTTCTTCAGAGATCTCGGGGAGCCGGTCTCCTTCCCCATCCTATCCCTGAGCTAGATAGCTTGCCTGCGTCACGGGTGACGACACGAATAGTTGCAGGAGGACGGCCAGTTTTTTAGGTGTGATCGGATCCGGGCGGGGTCCGAGAAAATTGGATACGGATGTTACGTAGCAGGAATGGGTCCGAAACGTCAGCAGAGGTCATGAGAGATATTTAGAAGGGTTCAAAAGCTGGAATTTCTCAGTGGCCTTCGATATATGTGGAGAAATCTAATTATAGCTGCAAATAATGCGATACAAGAAAGTTATAGAAAAGTTTTAAGATTTGACAGCCGGGTGCCATTATTGCAAAATTTTGAGGTCTTGTAATGTGAAATGTAGATGTCTAACATGAAAAAGAAAGAAATAACCGAGTAGACGCCTCATCCGAACTAAAATAACATGCGCTATCAGTGTCCCGGTGGGTGGGGGAGGAGACGAGGCTATTGCGAAGTTGGTGGGATCAGCACAACCACCATGTCCGGTCGCTTAACGGTCAAAAGCACCTAGCCCTTA